TATTTACGAAGAAACATTATTCTGATTACTTTGTCATACAAAGTAACGAAATTATGTAATTTTTATACTCGTATTATATAATAACAGAGTGTCGTTTTGCAAACATTTCTCGGTATCCTTATTGACACATACCATATTATATCTAAAAGAAAGTAGGAGACAGGTCCATTACAATTCTTAATGATGTCTGCAGTTAAATATAGATCATGTCAGGCTGTTTATCTTAAAAACTTAGTGACGATGTTTTTCATTTTCCAACCAAGCGCCTCTTAATTACATAATTATAAATATAAATATTAAAACCAGTTTAATTCTTTATATAAAATTAATTCAATAGTATTATTCTAATTAGTTATTTTTTTAAAATATCTAATAATTTAATCAATATATTTCATAGGTTTCCAGAATTGCTCTCTCTCTCTCTTCTATAAAAATACTATTAATTTAGATATTCCATTCACTCTTTTCGTTAAAATAAATAAATAAATAAATAATAATGAGTAATTGGCATTCGTATGCTGGACTCTCCGGTTTAAAACGTGATAGAAATTCTATACACAGACACACCGAGTTGGATAGGATTCGAGTGAAGATCTTATTACCACACCGTTTTTCCTATTTATTTTATATCATTCATCCATTTAAACATGGTAATACATGTATGTAGGCCTATATATAAACATAACTATAGGATGTCCCATTTAAAATCGGCCGTACTGAGACAACGAAACATAATTTATATAAATTTTATAGAAAAATCTTCATGAAATATTAGCCTATATTACCTAAATTCATTTGTATTATTTCCAGTGAGTGAGACGATTTTATATAGGACAACCTATACAAATAATAATAATAATAATAAAACAAATCTTTACTTTTACTTTTTCTTTATTATGCGTTATGCATTAACATACCGTAAATATAGAAAGTATTGTTTATACTGTATTAAATCTATATTAATATTTTGAATGAAACACAAATATTGAAGTATTTTATGTATTTCAATTATGAAGTTACGGCAAAAAAAAAAGTTTTCTCCTTGTATTACAGACGGTGTTTGTGTTGTATTCTTCGCTTCACACCTCATTACAATTACATTTATTTTAGAGATATTTTTATTTAGGAAAATCTCACTATACACAGTCGACCCCC